CATGCACACTCATGCACACACGTACACGGGGAGCCACATGATGGAGGAGGGGTAGACGGATATTTCCATGTTCTCATGGAGTCATCAGTACGCTCCATGGTCAGGATTATTTCTCTTGTTTTTCACATGAAGCCTCAGCCTGCTCAAGTAATATTTTCAACATCAAAATTTGAAAATGTTACTTTTATTCTATCATTGATCTGGTTCATGGCCTGAAACACTGTCAATATCTGCAGTTAAACTATTAACCCGCTCCTCAGTCAATAGATCTTTAACTGGAATCCACTGTGCTGAAAGGTGTTTAGTAAACTTTCATCAATCTGTCTAACAACCTTACGGCACGTTCTTACCTCTCTGAAAATGAATGCTAAGAAAATTGAAGCAATCTCTTGCAGCCTTGTCCAAAAATATCAGAATTGGGTTTCTAAATTACTACTAACTTATTTTCTACAAACCGAGAAGGAATAAATGTTCATTTATTTGATCAAATGAGTTTAATTTTAAAATCCTGGGTGAATTATATCCTGGAGTACGGATAGAATCTGCAAAGTTACTAAAGGTCATATATGAGAAATATTTTAGAAGTCATGAGAATATAAATTTATCAGAAGATAGCAATAAAATGGCTTTCCAAACTTTTGAAGGAAAAGGAAAATATCGGAAGCTGATATTGATCTCCGTTGAACCTGATGGGTGGCTTATTTAACCACTGTCATGTCAAGTACAGAAACAGTGCTTACTATGAATCAGGAAAGAGCCCTTCAAACTAACTCACATCACACTATATTTTGCTATATATTGCCAAGGTTATATACAGAATATCAGAGCCCTTAGTTTCCTGAGTGTTGGCATAATATCAGTTTCCTCACATAGTGTGATATGTCATATCTCAAATTCAGCAAAACCAAGAGCTAGAACACATGGCAGAGAGAAAGCTGTAGAGGTGTTTCCAGTGACAAGACATAGGCTTTGCATTTGACTCTGCTGTGCTCTTAATATCAGTTGTTTGAATAGGACCTGTCAAATACTCATGATATAAAATTGCAGGTGCAACTTAATTCATTGGATAGTGGAAAAATTTCAAGTGGAATTAGGCCCACAATTACCAAAGTAAAGTTTATAGAGAAGATTTTGAACTGAGCTCATTTGCCCCTTCGTTCTGAGGCATTTGCTAATAATTATTTCCATATGCCCATCTTATGATGGGTGCTGGGCCTAACGATGTGAATTCCATAGGTCCTGCCCTCTAGGAGCTCATTTTTTTATCACCTAAGGGAAAAACAAAGGAAATCGCACCTAATATTAATTCATGTGACACGGAAGTTCTCACTTGTTTGCACATTGGCCAAGAACGAATATAGGGCATGTTTTTTTGTGCAAGATCTGAATTAAGGGTGGAAGTACATTCGATATGTTTATGAATCATAGCTAGAGACTTATAAACCACTGTGTTTTGAAAGAAATTCAGAATAACTGGGACTTTTAAAGGTCTGATTTGAAAAAAAGTTTAGGAAGCAAAAATGTTCTTTAAAAATGAGTATCTTCCCTGTAAAATGGGAATTAGACTTAACCTGTGTAGCTTTATAAGACAAAACTTAACACTGACTGAAAATTAGAGTGAAATGTTTCAGACAGCACAAGTTAAAGCTTCATAGTTTATAGTTATGCAGGGTCAGAAGGTCTGCCTTATAAGAATTCTTGCATTTATGTTATCTCAACAAAGTAAAGGAAAGACTAGTCTAACTGCTTGCCTTAGGTCTAAAATACTGTGATATTACTTGTACATTTATTGTTAAACTTCTCATGAGATGTATAAAGTAGAGAAATTTTTCCTAAAGGCTAATTTCTATGTGAGAGCAAATACATACACTATTGGACAGCACACCGGAAAGTCAATTGAAAGGGCTGTGTCAGAAAATTTCAAAAATAGCACCGAGATTTATGTGTTGTGTTTGTGGACCTAAGCAGGACATTTGATTCACTTAACTGCGTACAGTATGTCAGCAACCTTCAGGAAGATTGACTATCCTGAGAAGTTAAAATATTTGCTTGCTCTCTGAAGAAATCATAAAAGTTTCAACTATAAGAAAAGTGAAACCATACTTTTGAATTTCTGTATTTCAGCAATGATCACTATCTTTAAGTATTTTGATATGGTTAGTAATGTTACTTTAGGTTGCATACAATAATTAATTATACGCTGATTTTATTGTAAAAGCAAAAGGCTAAATATTATTGTTGAAGATCCCATGTGCTTTTGGCACATATTCATTCCTAAACTACAAAATATGTCTGTTAAACACTCCCCATTTAACACTTACTCATTATTTGACATCTTGCTGCAAGATTTGAGCCTGAAATTCATAGATAATTGCCTTTTCTGGGAGCCATTATCTCTTACAATGCTACCCTTACACATGGAATGGGTATTTTATTGCTAAAATATGGTGGCTCTGTTGGATGGACAAATAAGAAAGGTTGACGGTGCCTAAATCAACATCAAAATATAACAAATCATTTTGTCCCGATAACCACTTTTTTTATTAGAGTAAAACTTGTTTTTTTTTTTAATCTTAAAAATATCGTGATATCCTAGGGTGTGCAAAAGAAACAGCAGCTAGATAAGGCTGGAGGGGAAGCACGAACAGATTAGGGAAAGGTTTCCCACTCAGCCTGATGCTGAGGAAGACCCATGCAGACTCTCAATCAAGAGAAGGGTGTGGTTTGATAGAAGACTGGACAGAAGCATTTGGAGACAGAGTCTTTAGCTAGGAGGCTATTCTGATAATCCCGGGAAAAGATGCCAATGGCCAGATAAAATCAGTAGCAACAAGGAAATCAAGAAACAGAGAAAAATAGAACTGTAGAATAGTGAGCAAAGAGATATCTAGGATAACAGAAGCCTGTAGTTTGCTAACCTGAGCCATTCAGCAAGTGAGAGTGACCCCCAACTGAAACAGGAAACGGAGGAATCAGCAAATTGAAAGAAAGATTAGCTTCATACAGAGTCTGGGTGCTTTTGTGTTATGCAATAGCATCTATCCAAGCAGCAATTAGAAATCAAAGTTTGGAACTCACTGGAGATATCAATGATAAATAAAAACAATTCACAGTTTGGGGCTCATAGATACCTAGTGTCAGAGTAATGGAAGAAATCACCAAGGCTGATTGTGTAGGAAAAACAACAGATGAGAAAAAAACAGTAGAATCGACAAAATCAATCTTACTAGACAGAAAGGGAAGAAGGAGTCCATAAAAGAGAATAAGAATAGCTACAGAGATAGGAGATACATCTACAGATTTTTTTTATTAAGGAAAATATGGAAACAGAAAATTTCAGGGAAAGAATGGCCAGAAATATCAGGCACTGCAGAGAATTCACATGTTACGGGGACTGATTATTGGCAGTAAATTTCAATTTAGCGACGAAGATCTTAGGGATGAACCAGGGACAAGACAGCGCCTCCTGCAGACAGAGTACTATGTCAAAGAGCTGGGAAAATGCAGACAAAACCGTGCATTGTTTGGAAGGAAACTGAGATGCACCCAAATAGGAGTTTTCATTTATTTGAAAATAGGAAACTATCTTCCACTACGTGGAGCATGGAAACTTAGGACTGAGGCTGGACGTGTCTATTGGAAAACCAGATCTCTTTTACATGCAGTTGTAAAAAGCAACTGCAGACAACACAGCGTATTTTCAAATATAGCGCCAAAAATGTAAAAGACCAATAGTCTAAAAATGGTAGTGGCAATGTCATGGATTCCATGGAGAATGGGCTCTAAAAAAACAGCATTTCCATGGTGATATCTGTTGCGAACGTGACTTTAGTTATTATTTGTGGTGAAAACTGCACATCGTGTTTGCCATTGGAAGGCAGATGAAGGGTAAGCGCGTTCTTCTGGGCCACAGTCGCGGGTTCGCCTTAGACCCTGCAGATGGCCCGGACTCGCCCAGCAGCTCAAGACAGCGGCTCACGAACATCTGTCTACACCTATTTTGCTTCGCATTTTCCTTGTGTACTATTTATAGGAAGTAAAAATCCCTGTTCTAGAAAGTCAAGCTGAAATTTCCTTTTTGATTCCCAAAATCAAGGGCTGCATTTTCACTAAACAACCTTCGACACTGCATTTTGTTGCTTGTTCTTGGCCAGGCTTTTTCCCCCTGACTGGAATGCATTTCTGGAGGGTAGGGTGTTGTTTTCCTTTACTTATCTCATTGGATTCTCTTACTGCCCATTTCAGCGCCACTGGGAAGGTGGCCTGCTGTACAATTGTTCTGTATTAAATGTCTTTCTACTTTGTGACACTTTTCATTTCAAAACTTTTTATACACTACTCTGATACTTTTCTCATTTTCTCTGTAAGTGCGGTAAAGCTTATCACCCCAAGATCCCTTATTATGAAAATATAAGGAAGAAATATGGATGTGTTTGCTCATTTCAAGTTGAGCTCTTATATTTATACAGAACCACCCACATTTGGCAGAAAAGGTAAATTGATAACATTTTTAAGATGGTGAAAAGACTGGCTCTTTTTGTTCATATTGTGTCTCAGAACCATTGCACTTTGCATTTGAGCTTAGCTTTGTAAGGTCTGCCGGTGGGCAGGTACTGAGGCCCCCGGAATCCCAGCACTTCTAAGGACACCTCATACAGCCAAAGATGGGAAGAGAAGAAAAGTAAATGTCCAGACAACAGTCAATTTTAGAAATTCTTCACATTCTCTTTCCCAACTTAGAGTGAAAGGAAAATGTACACAGAAGTTAATATAGAGAAAACAAATTCTTCTCCGTGCAGCTACATAACACAATAACCGTGGTATTTGTTTCTCAAATGAAACATTTGCATACATATGTTTTCTCATAATGATAAAGTGTGTGTGTGTTTGAGTGTGTGTTTTCAGGGACACACACACTCACAGGCGATGTGCTGTAAGATCAGTTACATTCCATGTCTCATCACATGAAAAACCACCTTTTTCTCCCTTTGCCCTTCCAGGATTGTCAGCATCACACTGCTGGTGATTTCTGTGAGCAGTGTGCACTGGGATACTATGGAATCGTCAAGGGACTGCCAAACGACTGTCAGCAATGTGCTTGTCCTCTGATTTCTTCCAGCAACAAGTAAGATTGAGAAATAGAACCACATTTCCCAATTGTTATTGCCATCTGTCCTGCACATGGGCTGTCCAAGACTTGGCTATTTCCATGTGGACAAAGTCTTAATCTAAGACAGTTCTTTTTAATAATATAAAAACATGACAAGAGTCATTTTGTATATTCTGCGGTTCATTTGTCCTTTAAAACCCTGTCCAAAGTAAATAATACTCATGAACTCAAGTGTAAGTACCAATATTAATATAAGATCTGCTTATAAAATAAATGATATATGTACATAGCTTCATAAATACACAACTGTAGTGTTTGCATATATTTCTGCCAAAAATTCAGCTATGAAGGATTGTTTGGGTAAGTACTGTATCATTTTTGTGGCTGTTTCCATTCATTTTGTGTGTTAAATTCAAGATTGGGAAATAATTACCAAGGAAACAATTGAAAAATACCACAGAGAAAGCAGGGTGACTTATTGTTATGCTTTAAAAAGGTCAGTATCTGCCAGAATCAAAGCCTCCTTTCTGCTAAGATGGTCTGAGTGTGGTGCCATGGAAACACAGCCATAAGGGAAAACAAATGCTGGAATATCTTATTTCAGTGCTGCTTGAACATTCAGCCTTGGTTTATATTTTGATGAGAATCCCTAGGTGTTTCCATTTACCTTTTTGCTAAGCTCATACTTTCTGTTAAGTGATTTGTAGAATGCAATCTCTGCGTGGTGAAGTAGTTTTTCTTTAGGAATCTGCTTTTCAAGAAGAAGATACAGAAGTTTGTTCAGAGTTAGAATTCTGGACACCTTATCTTGAACACAAAAGAGCAATAAAGCAAATCAGACAAAAGCTATCTTCCACCGTGCCTATTCACTGGGCTTCTTCATCTTCAGTTTTGCATACATTCTTCAGTCTAACGCTCTCCCATCTGAGCTATTTCAGCCAAGTTAGTTTTGCATACATTCTGAAAACAATTTTGTATAAAGTTTTGTCCTTTCCCCCTGAAATCTCTTCTTTTTTTTTTCTTGGCCAAAATTGCAAACTTTTTCTGAGTTTTCAGTTGTAAAGCGTTAAGTAAAATGGATATTGACTATGCTAATGTGAATCATCTTATTATTCACTAAAGCACCAAACAGTAGGTGTATGAAACCTAATGTTATTTTCATCTCCTCTTCTTCAAGCCCTCTCTGATGCCAATATTTAAACAAATGTTATCTATTTTACTCTGTATTAACATGTGAGCAATTTGGATCAGGAAGAATCGATAGTTCAGTAATCATTCATTCTGGAGTGCACTATAAAGGGAGCTGCGGGGAATATGAGAGAAGGTAGCCATTTCTTGGAGAAACTCCCAATGAAGCATGAGTCTTAAGAGGAGTGGACTTCGATGTTAAGAGAATTCAAGGATGTACAACACTATACTTAATTTTGGAGGCTTTAAGAACATATTAAAAGAAGTGGTTGTACGTATAATAGATTGTCATCAGTGGACAGAATAGTAGGGAGTGATGCGAGTAGCTTAGAAAATACAATGCACAAAGCATATTTAGAGCTAGTAAGTAATAGAGTTTGGAGCATGGCCTTTTTTAAAGACAAGATTCATAATGACAGATGGAAATGAACAGGTAAATAGAGCCCACATTCTATAAATCCTTGCATGCCATCTAATAAATTGGTATGTAATTTTTCTATATACTAAAAAGCTGCACATTTTATTTTTTGAAAAAGATTAGTATAATCAGATCCACATTTTATGAAGACCATTATGATAGCATTAAATGTAATGAATTGAGACAGGCAAAGAAGAAAAGCAATGAGACCAATTAGAAGGCTGTTGCTATAGCCTAGGCAAGGATAATTAGGCCTCGAAGGTAGGCAGTAGTAACAAGAGTGGAGACATGGCGATGAAAATGAGAAATGTGTCAAACACGGCCCCACAGCACTGATACCTAATTAGGTGCAAGGGGTGAGGGTCCAGGCAGGAGCAGGATACTGAAGGTTTTACCCAGGTTGTCCAAAAAATGATGGAGCCATCAGTGAAGAGCAGCTGCAGAAAAAAAAGGCAATTTATGGTTTAAATAGGTTCCGATTGGTGCAAAGGTTCTATCTGAATGGAAATATGCAAGCAGCTGCAGAAATGGAAATCTGAAAATTGCAGAAGCAGATGAAGAAAGAAATATGTTAGCAACTGTGTTGAAGTCAGGAAAGATTTCCCAGGCTAATATTACCCAAGGGGAGCACTTGTAAAGAAGGAGAGACAGGACTCTGGGCGGGGTCACCAGCAGAGGACTAAGGGCTCTGGCAGGGCCGGGAGACGAGATCCTGGGCAGTGACGCCGCTGACACCAACAGAGAGAGGGTGACAGTGATGAGCACAAGAAGCCACACGCTCTTGAGGGAGACTCCGGGTATAGCAGCAGCCAACCAGGAGTGTGGGTGATGAGTTCTAACAACCAGTAATAGAAGCAGGCATCAAGTTTACAGTTTGAAGGAATTATAAAAAATGGGATGCTACTTTGGTTTGTTAGCAGAATCGATAAAATGGTGAATTTGCTGTCTTTGTTTCATTTGTGGCACATCGGATTTATATAGTTGAAGTATAGTTTTATGAAAAGGGCCCTGAAAGAATCAAAATATCAAATCACAGTGACGGTTCCATTGTTTTCAATCTTTATTGATCATAAGCCCCATAGGCTATATTTTTTGGTAACATAAGTCACTTCTCAAAAGCTTACCTGTGCAGATTACAAATAGACTGTAAACTACAAATGGAGGGGCTGATAACCCTCATTTAGTCTGGGTCGTCCATGAGAAACAGCGGGCACAGAAGGCGGGAGGAGTGATTACTGACTCAGTCCCACGGCATCTCTGCAAGTGTCCCTCGTCTCTTACTGAAACAGATATGGTGAGCTTTTCATAGTCGTGATGGAGCAGCAGTACTGAGCACACCCTCAGAGATTTTTGCACACACACCCAAAGAAAGGCGAGACTTCAGCAAGACAGCAAAAACCTGCAACCCGACTACCTTTCCAACCTCAATGCTCTCCGCCCCGTCCGTGTGAGGCCAAGTTTGGAATTTCCTATTCTTCCCTAAACGCAAGCAGCCATCTTTGTACTAGCTACTCCCTGAGATGATCTCTGTGAAATCCAGTCTTCCATCGAGACCCAGTTCCAGTGCCACCTCTGCCACAGAAATCTTTCCATAGCATAACATATCTTTGTACACTTTGTATCCTCCTGATACCTTTTTGTCACATCTTTATTTGAGTCAAATATTCTCTCAGAACTTGGACATCTGCTCAGCAGTGAGTTCTCCGTCTCAACACCTTGCATAAGACATGAAATGCGTGTGTCCCATCCTATACTCGTATACACCTGTCTCACATAGAATTACAAATTTCTCAAAGTTATAAAAAGTGTTTTATTTATTCCTTTCATCAAAAGATATTTAATAAGGGCCTAAGTCAGTGGTAAGCATGATTCTGAGTGCTGAGAAGATATAAACAAGACTAGTCCATGTTTCTTGCTCTGCCTGTTTTATTTTATAAGAAAGCAAGGCAGTAGAGAAATAGATACAGAGTGTCATATCAGGTGATGACAATGCTACCAGGAAGTACAAAGTAGCCTCAATGCATGTACAGTGGCCGTGGCACCATTTTAGACAGGGTGATCAATGATCTCCACGCATGGAGGAAGCTTGGTGGAGACCTAGAGGACGCAGTGAAATGAGCTGTACGAAGGTGTGCAGAAGGAGCGGGCCAGCCGGAGTGGACTGTCCCAGAGGCTGTCCTGTCCCAGAGACGGGCCCGTGAGTGGCCCACAGTTGGCAGACAGTGGGGGTCTGGGCAGCTGATGTAGACTGCGTGAAGGCAGGGGGCGGGGCACCAGCGGAAGCCACCAGCTCCTTCCAGTGAAGAGAGGGCAATTCGCTGATGCTGTTATGTTTGCAGCACAAGTGCTGATAGATAAAATGGATGTGCCTGGAGGCAAAGTTGACGTCATGGGTCTCCGCAGGGCAAATGGAGGCATGGAGTGACCATTGCAGAGATGGGGAAAATTACAGAAAGATCAGCCATACAGTCGTGTTTTTGAAGGAGTGGAAGCTTAATGTGAGATCTGTGAGGTCTGGTGGGTTTCTTGGAGAAAGGGGGACACGGTTTTAGATCCATTTCCCTTCATTCTTAAAGCCCTTGGGAATGAATGAAAATATTTAGAGGAGTGAGGAGGGGAAAGAAAATCTGAGAAATGAACTGAGAAGCACACTAAGAGGTCAGGGATATGCAGCCGGGCATGGTGGCACATGCCTGTAATTCCAGCCCTTGGGAGGCAGAGGCCTGAGTTTGAGGACAACCTGGGCTAAATAGTGAGACCTTGCCTCAAAAAAAAAAACCCAAAAAACAGAGAGATCAGGGATATAACGTGCATCCAGCAGCAGTGCTGAGGAAGAGTAACCAGTGAACTGGGATAAACACTGGAAGGAGATGGTTTTTCAGGAAGCCAGTTCACTTGGGTCAACTCCCAAGTGGCAGACACAGAATATAGGCTCTGTAAGTTTAAAAAGTCTGTTGATGGGGAGTTTGGAATTTGTCACTGCAAGGAATTTGTAGAAGGCAATCATCAAGAAAAGCAGAAGGACTTCTGAGTGGTCCTGCAGATGAAGTGAAAACTGAGAGTAGATATAGGAGTGATAAGTGGAAAGCATCACTAGCTGTATCTTCAAGCAAGATGTTTTCCTGCTTGCTGCATCAGATACTCTTTTGCGTGATACAAGGAAAAAGTGCCACCTGCCTCCATATCATAATTCAAATAAGTTTGTATCAACACTCTGTGTGAATGAGTACATTCCTGGTTCGTACTTTAGCCTACTTTATTTATTCATTGAGTACTTCTTCACATTTTATGATTTTCCTGCAGAAGGAATGCATTTCAATCCCATTGTCTATGTAGAGTTTTGCTTGAAATGTCCAAAATCTGTTTCCTGATGCCTATTTGTGTCTGTGAGATTGTGTGTTTCAGAGTGCACAGACATACTTGGCATCAAGTTTTAAATTAAAGAGCTAAAAATTTGACAGACTGTCAGTTATGAGTTTATGGTTCTATTTTTCATGTGCAGCCAAAAAAAAAAAAATGTGGGATAATGAGTCAGTGAGTAGTAGATTCATTTGTTTGCATATTTTGCAAAGCCTCAAGTTTATCATTCTCTTAGGTACTGTTGATGCACTGCATTGGGCAATAGTTAAAATAGGGTCCTAATAGCACCTGGCCCAGACCTGTACACTTTAGTGTTCTTTCTAAGGACAAATGATTTAGCAGACCTAGAAACAGGCAAAAAAAAAAATGGTGTTTTTCAACTAGTAAGTTTTCTCTTCCTGAGTTTCCAGCATATTCTGTAATTGTATCCAGTGGAAACATACCACATATATTTTAAAGGAATTTGTAAAAACCTGAAACTATATAATAATAGTTTAAGTTTGAAGTAGCCACATCAGGATTTTCCTTTATAAAATGAGATCATGGTCAGTCCTGGAGTGAGAAGCTGTGGTCTATTGGGCTGTGGTGGAAACACAGGGATGTTATCAGACACCTCGTTATTAGAAAATATCAGAAAATGGTGAACAAATCTTATTTTCAGGTAGAAATCTTTCTCTTCTTTCTTCATACCAAATCGCATTATTTTATGTTTAAAAATGATTTTGAAATCTGGATGTAAATTAGAAAAGGCACGCTATTATTCTAAATGAAATATTTATTCACACTTCATGTCTTGAAATGCCAATGGAAATTTGGACTGAATTTTAAGGAAATAATTATATAGCTTTTATGTCCTAGTTTTTCCTCTTTTTAAAAAAATCTGAAATATACTCAGCTATGCCTATTCTATAAGACAAATCTTCATGAATTCTGGTCACATTTTCTTTTGATTAGTGAACAATGCAATACTTTGGGTAGATGTTTAATATTTTCATGGCTGTTGTATAATTATCAAAATATCAAGCTATTAAAAAGTGTAATGTTATACATTATAAATTAATAAAAAACTAATCAATATTTGTTGATTAGTAATAGCACTTCATTGTGATAGCCTATTCTTAATAAGAATTTCATCAGTAGTTATAAATGACATCACCACCCAAAACTACGTTGCAGACATCTTAATAATGGGTAGAAAGATTGAATTTTGTAAAATAAATTAATTAAAAGACTTCTTAACAATATTTTCTACTTGTCTGGTTCAGTTTCAGCCCCTCTTGTGTCGCGGAAGGCCTAGATAACTACCGCTGCACTGCATGTCCACGCGGCTACGAAGGCCAGTACTGTGAAAGGTACCGACAGCCCTTGCGCACCGTGACCCTGTAGGCAGTCCAAATAGAAAAGTATTCACGCTCTCAGTAGTGTCACCAGTCTCCTGTTCTCCGGTTGTTTAAATTATTAGACGCTTTTAAAATTAGTTTATATCTTTCAGACTTTCTCCAAAGAAATTTACTTCCATCTTATATGTAGAGTTTCTTAAACATACCAAAGTATTTTTCAGTTATCTAATTCGTGCTTCAGTATATATGGAAGGAGGTAGATATGAAGGTAGGTATCATTTTATAGACAAATAAATCACATCCATTTTTCAGAAGCTTGTCAGTAGCTACTAGTAATTAAAAACTTGCCACATATTTCTGACTTTGGCTCTCTGGAAAATACTGCCTAGCAATAGTTTCTCACAGGCCCTTTTTCATAGCACTATGGCCTCACACCAACAAGTGCATACATAATTCAAAATATAAATGGTATGAAGCATTTTTAATTAATACTACCCACACAGTACAGTAAAGTGCCTGCTACTCACTTCTCCTTCTTAAGGGCAAATAACATTGTGTAAATGCTTTCTTTTGCCATAAGAAATTACAAAACCTATAAAGCATGTATATAAGTATGATTGAATTCTAAATGCAACTCAAGCAGTAAACTAAGGAATACAGTTTCAAACCATTAAGATTGTAACTGACATCTTCTGGATACTAATTTTCTGTAAGACCAGTGTCCTGGATATTCAAACTTGTGACCACCACTTTTAATATGTCTGTCATAACAAGGAGTAACTACCACAAACCACACACCTGATATGTGAATTATAATGTTAGCATAATTGGTAGTAGAATAAAAGTTGTATAAAGATCCAAGGACTTGGGCCAGGGATTTAGCTCAGTGGCACCTCCCCTGCCTCAAAAGTGAAAGGTCCTGAGAAGGAAAGAAAGAAAGAAAATAAAAGAAAGGACCCATGGACTTAATTCTGCCACATGGTCCAGGTCTTGTTTGGGTTTACATATAATATGAAGATAGTCAGTGGTCTACCTGCATGGCATTGTGTACAAGGGACAGGATGGTGCTGATGGCCCCCATACACCTGGACGGAAGCCTCCTTTCCAATGGGAGACACAAAAGGCCATAGAATCTACCCCACCTTCCTCTGGTGGCCCATTGCCAAGGACTAAGTAGTGGAAAAATACTCAAAATATATTCTGTCTATAAGCAGAATATTATTTATACTTCATACCTCTCTATGGAATCAGGCGAAGACTGAGATCACTTGAAATTCCATCCTTATCTGGATTCTTTTTTTTCTATTTCCTACATTGCCTTCTCCCTCACAGGATTCTCTTAGGGGCTCCTGAAATTATGACTCTTTTTGCAAAACTTGACTAATATTATTTAATATTTATCATCACCCTTTTAAGGATCTTTTACTAACCAGCAATGGCTATATTAATAATGGCAACAGGAAAGTAATTAAATGATTAGACTTAAATTTTATGAATTCAGATTCCCTGTTTGTAAGATATATTTCCACATAGAAATCTTTGTGTAGTATTTCTAAACACAGTATCTACTACTTGCATATGTACAACAATGCATTCGCACTTTCTATGCCAACAGAAATGAACAGCAATTAAACAATTCACAATACAAAATCCAAAAACATTGTCACTTTTTGAAGAAACATACATCATTTGGATGTAGCTTATAAATGATAAAGTTTTATCTAATGATCACCAGTGTTCTTTGCTATTTATTCTTAGGCTCACATTTATACCTACCAGTAAGAGGGCAACTGAAAACATCTTTGGAACCATGGAAATTATCTGCAGTAAATTATGCAAAAATATTTTGTACCATAACTAGAACTGGAATTACCATAAACCTTCAAAAGCATGTGTATAGAAAACTCTGGAAGGTATACTAGCACGACAATCTCTGTCTTAAAGCACAGAGATTACAGAAATCACTCTTTAAATATCCATTAATGTTTAATCAGTAAGACTTAACAGTTCACACACAGATAGATGAGTAGGATCATGCACCATCAAATGTGAATGATTTGAAATGTTTCTGCAGTTCTTAAATGTTGTTATAGCTTTGCATTCATCTTTTCTAACGTATAAATGATCAGGTTTTATTTCCTTGAAAAATTGCTTCTATTCAGTTAAATTAAACCAAAGGTCTGGGTTAAATTTTTATTGTAACCTTCCAGATAAATGTGTTCCACTTGTAAGAGCCTCTTAAATCATTTAAATCACCTTATGACCTGCCCAAACTCAGCTTGGATCTAAAACTGCTTAAATTTCTTGATTATCCCCATAACATGGAAACCCCTCCCCTTGCCTTATCTTCATTACTTTTGTAATCAACTCTGAAGATTTAATCCATTTGAACCTGCTTAGAATACAACTGTTTCACCAAAAAATGTTTCAAAAAATAATATGAGGACTTACTTAAAATAACACTTTTATTGAGCATTTGTTATCTTACATTAGAAAATAAGAGTAAAAAAAATCAAAGCATAAAGAAAAAAGTTACAAATTGTTTTCTTTGTGCTTTGCCTTTTCTATTCAGCACAAGATGAACTCACTTTCATAACCAGCCATGTAAATTTCTATGTCCCAGATTGCTAAAGATATCTAGGATTATCTAACCAGTATTCATAGCTTTGGCCCCAACCTTCTACTGTTTCTCATCTTCTCAAACTTGTTGGACAGAAATTCTACTGTTGGTTATATTCATGTGACTCATATTCATA